TTGTGTTAGACGTCATTATATAGGAAGATTGTGTTAGACGTCATTATATAGGAAGATTGTGTTAGACGTCATTATATAGGGAGATTGTGTTAGACGTCATTATATAGGGAGATTGTGTTAGACGTCATTATATAGGGAGATTGTGTTAGACGTCATTATATAGGGAGATTGTGTTAGACGTCATTATATAGGGAGATTGTGTTAGACGTCATTATATAGGGAGATTGTGTTAGACGTCATTATATAGGGAGATTGTGTTAGACGTCATTATATAGGAAGATTGTGTTAGACGTCATTATATAGGAAGATTGTGTTAGACGTCATTATATAGGGAGATTGTGTTAGACGTCATTATATAGGGAGATTGTGTTAGACGTCATTATATAGGGAGATTGTGTTAGACGTCATTATATAGGAACATTGTGTTAGACGTCATTATATAGGAAGTATCAAACGTCGATGTATGAACAGATTGTATCAGTATTAATTAACTCTTAGTTAAGACTTAATTAAGCTACAAGTCATATGATATTTTGTGTATGGAGTCATCCATAAAAGAAGTCAGGTTTTTTTTTGACGATTTTATTTTTAACCTCACATCCTCAGTTTTTAATGACGGTTAAACTTCGTTTTCTACCATTGCTTTTTTGTAAAGCAAAAGTGTGACGTCACAAAATGTGAACACCTCCCCTCCCCCTCATCACACACCGTGACAAAATTACGGACCCCACTCCCCATACGAGTATGACGTCATTTATTGACTATCCCTATGCTGATGTATATGGTGTTGTGTATGTTGTTGTGTATGTTGATGTGTGTGTTGATGTGTATGATGATGTGTATGTTGCTGTGTATGTTGATGTGTATGTTGATGTGTGTGTTGATGTGTGTTGTTGTGTGTGTTGATGTGTGTGTTGATGTGTATGCCGATGTGTGTGTTGATGTGTGTGTTGATGTGTGTGTTGATGTGTAGGTTGATGCGTATGTTGATGTGTGTGTTGATGTGTAGGTTTATGTGTGTGTTGATGTGTATGTTGATGTGTGTGTTGATGTAGAACTAAGCCATGTGAGTTCAATAAACTTTTTGTCACAATAAATCGGCCTAGAAAGATGTCTGATCCAAGTTTGAGATTTTTTATTTCCCCCTTAGACCGTGTCTGATGGTTCGACTTTAGCAATCTAGCCAGTGGGTGGACAAGTGGTAGAGCGCAGGACGTCAGTTTGTATGACGTCACTCAGTTCACTAACTGTGACGTGTACAAGACTTAAGTGATGTGGTCACAGAAATGGACACTATCTCTGACCTTCATATGCCTTCATTTGACCTTCATACACCTTCATATTAGGCCCTAAAGGATAACCTAACTTTTTATCTAATCAGATATTAATTAGTTTTAAATCAAATTTTGGGGTTTTTGATCTCATCATGAAAAATAAATTCTTAATTATTAAAGAAAAGACCTATATACTGCCTCACACAGTCGGTGTTTGAGTTAAAGACCTACACACTGCCTCACACAGTTGGTGTGTGAGTTAAAGACCTACACACTGCCTCACACAGTTGGTGTGTGAGTTAAAGACCTACACACTGCCTCACTCAGTCGGTGTTTGAGTTAAAGACCTACACACTGTCTCACACAGTTGGTGTGTGAGTTAAAGACCTACACACGGCTTTAAATCACTGGCTAGACATAAGATAATTGAGCCACATTACATTTTCAAATAACAAAACATGCAAAGATAAATGAGCCACATTACATTTTCAAATAACAAAACATGCAAAGATAAATGAGCCACATTACATTTTCAAATAACAAAACATGCACAGATAAATGAGCCACATAAGAAACTTTCACTACTGACATGTCATTATGAGGAGCTTGGAGACACAAAAAGATTTGCAGCCACCAACAACTCCAACTGTAAAGTTGCTGTCGCCGGCCAAACATTATTGTTGTTGTTCCATGGTTTGATTGGGAACAAAATATTGGAAATAAAAAGTTTATTATTTATATTCTTGTAATATAAAATACAATTATTTATATAATATTAATAAAATAAGAGAACATTTTTCTTTTCTGATAATTTAGGAAATCTTGCTTAAATATTATTGTCAGTTTTCTTGGTAAAAAAACGTGTTATTTAAAAAAATAAAACTCAATTAAATCATGATTATATATATTATTAAATAAGACTTTATTTTAAATAAATATACTTTTTAAAAAAATGTGTTTTTAAAATTCCTATACATCTTTCTAGAATCAGTCGAAGAGAAATAATTACGTTTTTATTATTTCGTTGCTTTTTTAAATCGGTTATCCCGCTTTAAATATAAAAGTAAAACTGAGTTTAACGTTATTTTGTGGTCAAAGGGAGGCTAACGTAAAAACACTTTACGTCGGAGTTCATCAGTGGTTATCACTCTTACAAGTTTTTTTTCTCAGAAACAACAAATTAAAATAATTTAATAACTGCATTGAATTTATTTTTAATCTCAAAATTCTTTATCGTTTATCTATTCTAGAACACTTTTGCAAATAGATAATAAAAATAGTAAAATAGTAATATTTTTATTAAATTAAATATATAGGTCGTAATGAAATCATTCAAAGAAACATAATCTTTTTTTTTTCGCCGTTTACTTCTTTACTCGGTTATCCCGCTTTATATTTTAAAGTGTGTGAATTTCAAAGAAATTGTCTGGTCAAAGGGAGGCAAACATGAAAACGGTTTTTTGAAGTAATTGATCAAAAGTAGCCTCGCTTTAACATATTTTTCTTTTTGTTTTTTTTTTTTAGTTTTTGGAAATTATTAAACTTGACTAATTTTATATTTTTAGAGAGCATTGAAAAGAAATTGATACTTACAATTGATATCAATTACAATATTAATATAATTGAAAATACTAATATTAAAATAAATGTAAAGTAATAAAATATTTTAATTTTCTAAGTTCAGCTTCAGATACTCTCGGTGAAAATCTATAACACTTGTTGCCATAAAGACCCCGTTTTATTTTAAGAAAGAAAAATTATGATATTTAATATTATGGAGATCTAAGAGAGGCAATCATTATTTGATTGTTTAAAAGCTTATTTTTAAACATGGTTATTCCTCTTTAAATTTCAAAGTCATTGTTTTTCGAAAAAAAATTGCGGTCAAAGGGAAGCAAAAACAAAATATTCAAGGTCGTAGTTCAACATAGGCTACCTCCCTTAATTAAAAATAAAATTAAATACGATTTTTTAAATGTAAATATTGTAATTCCTCCGTTTATCAATAATAATCCGTCTTATAAATTATTTGCCGGTTTTGTTGAGAGAAACATTTTTGTTAATACTTAATTAATACTGTTAAAATGATAGTGTTAATAATAGTATTACAAATAAAAAGAACATTATTTTTTTACTTTCAGGGACATAACCTCAGCTAAACTACGAAGTGAAACTATATCATGTTTCTCTCCCTTTGACCATAAATTTTCTTTAAAATATTTGAACTTCGAAATTCAAAGAGGAATAACCTATAAAATATAAAGTAGGAAACAACCGATCAGGATTATCTCAGCTTTAATTAAACCAACATTAGGACAATGGAAGATTTTTTTTCTGACAGATTTTACATAAAAACTTACAAAACAATATAAATGGATCTTTGTTCGGCAAAAATAACAACAAATATCTGCAACTTTCATGATAACAAAGTTTGATGTATGCGCTCAAGGTAAATAACATGTGTTCCTTTGTATACATTAGCACAGAAAGTTCGGGTAATTTAGAACATTAAAAAATCTATTACTAAATATAAATAGGCACGAACGTGATTTTTAACTCCGTACAGAGTATTAAAGTTAGCTTCTGCTGAAGGTTTGAGAGTATTTCTATGAACCGGAAAAAGTGAATTGTTAATATTGCTGTTGGTATGGTTCTAGTGGTGCATATGAAAGGGATGACGTGGTCGACGATATACCCAGACTCATTTAGTTTCCCCATCGTCAGGTATTTTCATCAGAGCTGGGTGGTCGATAGTCACTAGTCCGAACGAGATCCGAACTCGCGACCATCGGGCTTGCAGTCCATCGTTCTACCAAACGACCACACCGTCCCATGCAGTTCAACAAAAGTATCCATATCAAATGTTTGGTAAAGTGTGTCGTTATGTTTGTGGGTCGTTATGTGTGTGGGACGTTATGTTTGAGGGTCATTATGTTTAGTATGTTGCATTAATATATAATTAATTGCAGAATATCAAATAGATCGCTTGATATCGTACTTGGGTTTGAGAAATTGAATGGGAGAATTTTGTTCAATGTTTAAGCTTTCAAATCAAATAATGTTTCCATCTGCCATCCGACGGGACACGATCTGTCATCCGACGTGACACAATCTGTCATCCGACGTGACACGATCTGTCATCCGACGTGACACGATCTGCCATCCGACGTGACACGATCTGTCATCCGACGTGACACGATCTGTCATCCGACGTGACACAATCTGCCATCCGACGTGACACGATCTGCCATCCGACGTGACACGATCTGCCATCCGACGTGACACAATCTGCCATCCGACGTGACACGATCTGCCATCCGACGTGACACGATCTGCCATCCGACGTGACACGATCTGCCATCCGACGTGACACGATCTGTCATCCGACGTGACACCATCTGTCATCCGACGTGACACAATCTGCCATCCGACGTGACACGATCTGCCATCCGACGTGACACGATCTGCCATCCGACGTGACACGATCTGTCATCCGACGTGCCAGTGCTGCAAGTACCTCAGTCGTTGCTAGCTAACAAAACCATTGTAAACAAAACCATTGTAAACAAAACCATTGTAAACAAAACCATTGTAAACAAAACCATTGTAAACAAAACCATTGTTAACAAAACCATTGTAATCAAAACCATTGTAAACAAAACCATTGTAAACAAAACCATTGTAAACAAAACCATGGAAAACAAAACAAACAAGAGGAGTCGGGAATCACGTGATCAAAGTTTATTTCCTGTGGCCTGGTTAGAGAAACTTGGATTGGACATTTTAAAAACTTGGATTGGATATTTTAAAAAACGGTGTCAAACATGTGGGTTCTAGACTAGTGAAGTAGATGGTAGAAATATAAAAACATGTACCCTAGGGGCAAATAAAAGTCATCCTAATGATGTCTTGTAACTTCATAATGATGTCTTGTAACTTCCTAATGATGTCTTGTAACTTCCTAATGATGTCTTGTAACTTCATAATAATTTTTAAATGTTTTATTTTACCCCGGTTTTTTTTTTCAAGCGAAGACTTTTGTGTCCTCTATAATGTGTACAAAATGCAAGTAACAATGTAAAGAAAAACACATTAAAAAGAAAATAAACGAACCAATTGTTTGTTGGGAGAAGTTAGAAAAAAAATAGCATTGAAATTATAACTCTGTCTAATGTAATTATTTTTGAGTCTGCTGATGTAATTATACTGCTGATGTAATTATACTTGTGTCTGCTGATGTAATTATACTGCTGATGTAATTATACTTGTATCTGCTGATGTAATTATACTGCTGATGTAATTATACTGCTGATGTAATTATACTGCTGATGTAATTATACTGCTGATGTAATTATACTTGTGTCTGCTGATGTAAATATACTGCTGATGTAATTATACTGCTGATGTAATTATACTGCTGATGTAATTATACTGCTGATGTAATTATACTGCTGATGTAATTATACTTGTGTCTGCTGATGTAATTATACTGCTGATGTAATTATACTTGTATCTGCTGATGTAATTATACTACTAATGTAATTATACTGCTGATGTAATTATACTTGTGTCTGCTGATGTAATTATACTTGTATCTGCTGATGTAATTATACTGCTGATGTAATTATACTTGTATCTGCTGATGTAATTATACTGCTAATGTAATTATACTGCTTATGTAATTATACTTGTGTCTGCTGATGTAATTATACTTGTATCTGCTAATGTAATTATACTTGTGTCTGCTGATGTAATCATACTTCTGATGTAATCATACTGCTAATGTAATTATACTGCTGATGTAATTATACTTGTGTCTGCTGATGTAATTATACTTGTGTCTGCTGATGTAATTATACTTGTATCTGCTGATGTAATTATACTACTAATGTAATTATACTGCTGATGTAATTATACTTGTGTCTGCTGATGTAATTATACTGCTGATGTAATTATACTGCTGATGTAATTATACTGCTGATGTAATTATACTGCTGATGTAATTATACTTCTGATGTAATTATACTGCTGATGTAATTATACTTCTGATGTAATTATACTTGTATCTGCTAATGTAATTATACTGCTGATGTAATTATACTTGTGTCTGCTGATGTAATTATACTTGTATCTGCTGATGTAATTATACTGCTGATGTAATTATACTTCTGATGTAATTATACTTGTATCTGCTAATGTAATTATACTGCTGATGTAATTATACTTGTATCTGCTGACGTAATTATACTGCTGATGTAATTATACTGCTAATGTAATTATACTTCTGATGTAATTATACTTCTGTGTCCGCGAGGCCGTTGTTCGTCTGAGTGATGGCAAAAGGGCCGTACATTTGTCTGACCCCTGGGGAAGTTTTAAAAAAGGCAGTTTTAGACAAATTATTATACACACACACCACACACCACACCACATCACACCACACACCACATCACACCACACACCACATCACATATTTAAATATATTAAACATTTGCCTCAGTTGTGCAGATAATACAATTTTCAATCATTTTGTTACGTCATAATAATTAGTTCTAACTCTTTATTTATGAGTAAAATGTGTCTAAAATATGTAATGTATTTAGCTCATTATGTAAGCTGATTGTGTAAACTAAATAACTAATTATGTAATCTAATAGAACTTAAAAAATACACCTTATTAAAAGATACACCTGACAATATTTTGTTGGAAAAATTTTGCAAAAGTAAAAATAAAGAAAATATCGTCTTAAATTTGATTGTTACATATCAAACCTCCAGCCTATAACATACGCCATCACTACCCTATATAACATATGTCATCATTACCCTAACATAAAAATGATTCACCACCACCTACACATATCACCATTCATTATCTAATCGTTAATTAATGAGCGTTTCAAAACTAGCCTGGTCAAATAAAAAGTTTGAAATGAAAGAGGAACGATTTCATCCAGAAAGAGAAAATTAAAACAGCCAGCATAAATCAACTTCAAGTCTAATTTCTTCTAGATTAGTCTGAAGTTAATTAGCTATAAATTAATCATTCTGTCGACATGTTAGCTCAGGGACCTAAGGATAATTACTCCAGCCACCATCTTTTAATTAGCTCAATATCCGGTCAGTAGGCTATTCTTAGTAACACACATCCCAATACAACATTAGTAGCCGCTAGCTGTCATTATCTTAGTGGGGTAGGGTTGGTGGGGTAAGATGGGGTGGGGTAAGGTGGGGGTGGTTTTATTCTTTACACCGTACAGCCCATTACACCGATTAAACTTAAACCTAACCCAAACCCTCATTACATAATGTAGAGGTATCAGAGAAAAAAATAGAGTGGTGACCGAATGGATTATCACCGTAGTAAATGTGACCAAAGATTTATTAATGGATTAATGGATTAATGGATTATCATGGACTGACTAGAGGTGTTAGCGCGAGGCCACTATTAATAGAATAACAGGACTGCAGATTTTACAAGCGTGTTACACAGACAGATGTAACAGAGACAATTACAGAGATGTAACAGAGACAATTACAGAGATGTAACAGAGACAATTACACAGATGTAACAGAGACAATTACAGAGATGTAACAGAGACAATTACACAGATGTAACAACGACAATTACACAGATGTAACAGAGACAATTACAGAGATGTAACAGAGACAATTACAGAGATGTAACAACGACAATTACACAGATGTAACAGAGACAATTACAGAGATGTAACAGAGACAATTACAGAGATGTAACAGAGACAATTACACAGATGTAACAACGACAATTACACAGATGTAACAGAGACAATTACAGAGATGTAACAGAGACAATTACAGAGATGTAACAGAGACAATTACAGAGATGTAACAGAGACAATTACAGAGATGTAACAGAGACAATTACACAGATGTAACAACGACAATTACACAGATGTAACAGAGACAATTACAGAGATGTAACAGAGACAATTACAGAGATGTAACAGAGACAATTACAGAGATGTAACAGAGAAAATTACACAGATGTAACAGAGACAATTACAGAGATGTAACAGAGACAATTACAGAGATGTAACAGAGACAATTACAGAGATGTAACAGAGACAATTACACAGATGTAACAACGACAATTACACAGATGTAACAGAGACAATTACAGAGATGTAACAGAGACAATTACAGAGATGTAACAGAGACAATTACAGAGATGTAACAGAGAAAATTACACAGATGTAACAACGACAATTACAGAGATGTAAACAGCGACAATTACAGAGATGTAACAGAGACAATTACAGAGATGTAACAGAGAAAATTACACAGATGTAAAGAGCGACAACCTGTGAGGGTGGGGTTCAGCTGGGGTTCAGCTGCCTCCAATGCCACTGAGCACCCACTGGGCGTGGGGGTGGACGCGCAGATCTGGGGGGAGAGAACACTGACGTCACATCCTCTAGGCTAGGCTTCATTATCATTAGTCTAATGAGTATCTGCTTTAGGTTAATGAATCGTGTCAAATGTCCCTATATCTAGGGGCGGGGTCTGGCTATATCTAGGGGCGGAGTCTGGCTATATTTAGGGGCGGGGTCTGGCTATATCTAGGGGCGGGGTCTGGCTATATCTAGGGGCGGGGTCTGGCTAGACGAAGCTTTGCGATTGGTTCATGAGTAGCCACGTGTGTGGCACCTCACTTCTGTGACGTCACTATTGACGTCACCACCCTGTTACTGCTGGTTACTTGGGGCTAGCGGATTTAGTCAACACCATTAGGAATCGGACAAGTTCCTTTTGAAATTGAAACGTTGATTTAGAGAACCCGAGTTCCAAGAGAATGTCAAAGTTCAGGAGCGTAACGAGGGGGGGGGGGGGGTGACACCATTAAGTGCCGCACCGGGTGACACCCGACCTCGCTACGCCACTGTCAAAGTTCAAACCATAAACACAGAGGTCAGGGG